AAATATTAAAATTTTAGTGAAAATCATCAAAATCGCTGGCGGTGGCTGGCAACTTTTTTCAAAAAAGTTGCTGGCGGGGAAAGAGTTAATCATAAATATACACTTCAGTTTGTTGGCAAGTTTCACTAAGTTTACTACAGTCTGCACTTTTACATCTCCTTGAATCATCGTAGTGGCTGTTTTTATGTAACTTCTGATTATTTTGTAGATAACTCTTAAATGTAGTAGATGTGTGTGTTTTTTTTCTGGTGTGTCTGTGTGCAATAAATAATGTTTCTTAATTTAACTCATTCATTACTCCACTCGTTACAAAGAACAAAATGATCTAAAAAATAAAATAAATGAATAAATAAATCTTAAAGTGTTTGACCAACCTGCTGGGCAGTTTTATTTAACTCAACTACTGTTTAAAAATTACTGTATGGCTGGCTTAAATGAACCCAAAATTGGTTGGAAATAAAAAAATCTGACACATAGTTATTAGAATAAATGTTTAATTTTTTATTGATTAAACTTAGTAATAAATGTTCATTTATTAAACATATTAATAAAAGTTAATTTCCAACCAATTTTGGGTTCATTTTAAGCAAGCAATATGATCATTTTGATAAAATAGTCGAGTTATTAAAAATTAATCGTTAAATAAAACTGCCCAACAGCTGGGTCAAAACAAGTTTGACCATATTTGACCCAACTTGAATTATATTTAACCCAGCATTTTTTAGAGTGCTGAATTGCCTGAAACAACTCGATATAATCCAATAACAGAGGCTTTGTTCTGTAACAGCAGAGCATAGCAATCCTCATTACCACATCAGGAACCGATCATTTACAGCAATCAGAACTGATCTGTAAGCGACAGTGATCAGCAGTATCGGCTCATTGTATCGTGTTAATGGTGTTAAGTACATTGCAACATTAGCAAACTCACAAAAGACTGAAGTTTTTGTCATTTAAACTCCTCAAAATAAGCCAAAACTACGTACAGTCAAACTAAAGTAGACGAAAAAAATGCATGAAATTGAACTATTGACAAAGCTTTGCGATAAACAGTCAAAGCAATTTAAACAAAATAAAACATTTAGTAAAATCAATATTAACATGAGACAATCTAAACATGAAAGCAAAAATAAAAATCGATTTAAAATAGATTTTAAACAATTTGCTATATATTTTGATATATTGTGTTAAATTGGACCCTCTTCAAGTACATTTAGTGCAATTTAAGTGTATTTCTTTAAACACGTTTAAAATGTACTGTAATACTAGAAGTACAGTTCCTTTCAGCTCATTAAAAATGCATTATTCATACACTGTTATACTGTTTATTCAAAGTGATATATTAAAAAGTGCAAGCATCATTAAATATAAATATTAAGACACACACACACACACTTGAAATCTAGAAAACTTTAAAATACTACTTTTACTTTAACTTAACTTTAATATACTTTAATATAACTTACAATTGCAGTAGGCCTACACATGGTTATAAAGTTTGCACGCTTTAAACCCACTAAAAGCTGAATTATTTAGCTGTTCTTACACTAAGTAAACATGAAATAGCCTATACTTTAAGTAAGAGTAAATTAAGTATGTTTTCTGTAAATACACTAAAATTTCACTTGCAGTATGTTTGTGTTTTTGCATATTTCTTTACAGCTTAACTAAGCATGTTTATTACCAAAGTTTTTGGAAAAATATTAAAAATTTAATTCATGAGATTTTTAATGCACTTCAAATGTTAAATGTACTATAAATACACTACTTGAATATCAAGTATATTTTTAATATGTTTAATTGTCTTTTTGAGGTGAGAATGAACAAACAAAACACCCGGAAAAACTTACAGAACTAAACTGAACTTTTATTAAACATAAACGCAGGCTAATAATACAGATTAATAAAGTTTATTGATAGAGGAAAAATAACTATAAAAAAATGAATTAAAACATAAAAAGCCCTGTTATGAACGAAGTATTCACGGCAACATTTAAGCTGTTATTTTATTTTAAATAAATAAGCGAAGCTAACACAAATGCCTTAAGTGTCATGTTTTGTAAAAATAGAAATAAAAAGAGAGTTAAAGAGTGTCAAAATATGTCTGTCTGCAACTATAAATAAACATTAAAACTGTAAAATATACTTCAAATATATACAATAAATTATACTCTTCTGACCTAGTGAAAAAACACCTTAAAACAATAAACTTAAAATGATGGTTTGTTTGTTTAACTACATACTGTGCGTTTGTTCTGTACCAGCAGAGCATCTCAGCCCTCATTAATGCATCATGAAAAGATCATTTACAGCAATCAAAACTAACCTGTAAACATCTGCAGTAACGGCTCATTGTATTGTGTTAATGGAAGCCATACATTTCAACAAGCAAACTCACAAAAGACAGGTTTTTGTCATTTAAAATCAGTACTGTGACAAAATAAGCTAAAATTACTTCAGTCAAACTAAAGTATGGACAAAGTATTTAGTACAACAGGTGGTTACACTTTAATTTAAGATGATGTAGTAATTACTCAAATAATTACTGAGCAATTAATAAGTATAACATATTATAACTGGTAATTATAATTCATTGCTATTACTGTAGTAAATACATGTAGTGACATGTAACTATTTCACCTTAAAATAAAGTGTCACCCAACTATATAAAATAAACTGATTATAATAAAATTAAATTATTAAATTAATAATTATAATAAAAAGTTGTTGCAATTTGTCATTTAGTAAGATTTTAGTTCAAAAACTAAGTTTTTAGTTGCTCACCAAGGCTGCATTTATTTGATCAAAAACACCGTAATATTGCAAAACATTATTACAATTTCAGCAAACTGTTTTCTATGTGAATATATGTGAAAATGTAATTCATTCTTGTTAATTTTCAGCATCATTGCTCCAGTCTTCAGTGGCACATGATCCTTCAGAAATCATTCTAATATTCTGATTTGTGGATACATTTCAACAAATGTTGAAAACAGTTTATTAAACGGAAATCTTATGTAACATGATAAATGTCTTTACGGTCACTTTTACTTCATTTAAGGCATCCTTGGTGAATAAAAGCATTAATATCTCTGTCTTAATTTTACAACGGATGTTTGAATGTATCATTTCATTATTTCCACACACACACAAAAAGAAAAACACATGTACAGCTTAATATTAGTAACAGCAGCAAGGCTTGTCTGGCCACGCCTTATTGGCTGAGCTTCAGTGACATCACAGCAGGAGAGCCCCGCCCACACTGGCACATAGATACAGGAGGCGAGATCTCTGCTCTGTTCTCTCACAAGTGTTAAACCTGTGATCCGATACACACTCCGGAGCAGAAGAGGGCGCTAATGCACTTACAAAGCTGGATACTAGCTGCTGTAGAACAAACAAAGAAGAAGAAGAAGAAGAAGAACACTGCTCTGTGTGCTCTACCATCCAGAAAAAAACCCTCTTCTCATGCATCAGATGTGTTGACTGCTGTGACAATGGTGGAACAAGAGAACAAGAGGTGAGGCTTGTGTTACTGGTGTTTCCTTAACTTTGCATTTATCCAAGAATAAGCAGTTAAGGTCAGAGATTGTGGTTGTTGCATCTGAATTAGTACACTGCTCTGTGTGCTCTACCATCCAGAAAAAACCCTCTTCTCATGCATCAGATGTGTTGACTGCTGTGACAATGGTGGAACAAGAGAACAAGAGGTGAGGCTTGTGTTACTGGTGTTTCCTTAACTTTGCATTTATCCAAGAATAAGCAGTTAAGGTCAGAGATTGTGGTTGTTGCATCTGAATTAGTACATGTACAAAACTTGGTATATAAGTTACATCTAACATCCAAATGTTTACAAATAACAAAAGTTTGATGTTTTGCCATGAAACAGAACGTTTCAGTAACACAGACAAACAATGTTCAATCTGCACAAAATCACACAGGTTTGATAAGAGTGCTTATCTGATGCACTCTTACACTGCAAAAAAAGGCATATCTTACCTAGTATTTACCTAGTATAAATATCTAAATTTTCTTATTTAAGATGCATTTACTAGAAAAGCAAAATGACATAAGATTATTAGTCTTGTTTCCAGGGGAAAAAACTAAATCAAGTGCATTTTGCTTAAAATAAGTACAATTATCTGGCAGTGGGGTAAGAAAAATAATCTTGTTTTAAGAGCATGTTATCCCCCCCCAGACACGCAACGGCAAATAATTTTACTTGTTTTAAGTAAAATTCACTTAATTTAGATTTTTTTTACTTGATAAAAAAACTACATATCTTATGTCATTTTACTTATCTAGTAAATGCATCTTAATTTATGAATTTTTAGATGTTTTGATTAAAAACAAGACAAAAATAGTAAGTGCGATAAGCCTTTTTTGCAGTGTAACAATGCATTGAAATATGACAGAAAGCATTAAAGGCAGGGTAAGCGATTTCTGGTAGCCAATGTTGATATTTGAAATCACCAAAACAAACACGCCTCTACCCCAAAAGGGTCTTGCCCCTATTTTGATAGCTCCGCCCCACACATACGTACGCAACCCAGGCAACGATTAGTTCTGTGAAACAAAGCAAAACCAATGTTACACCGTGTCTACGTGAGTGGCGCGGCGCAGCAAATCCCCGACAGAAAACTGCTGCCGGGTTCTATTTATGACGTGCTGACACAAATTTCAAATGGTTTTCAACAGTCGTTTGATCGCGTCCAGTGTAGGCAGACTTTAGCTGTTGTAGACAAGGTGTTACAGTTTTCTAAAGCGTTTTTGAAAAATTACATACCCTACCTTTAAACATGCTAGTAACACTTAGCTAAGTGGCGAAGCATGTTATTATGAAAGAAGAAGCTATTGTAACTCGAGCATATAATATCCATATCTATTGATTAGAGTACTGGCCTGAAGACACCTACATGCCAATATTTAGTTATAGTAATAGCACCACCAGCTTGCCATATTTCCTGCTGCTAGCTGGTGGTGCTATTACTATAACTAAAAACTGGCATGTCTTCAGGCCAAACCATGGTTAATTTGTGGTTACAGTGTTTTAACTATATTAACCATGTTTTTTTTAATTAAAAAACAATGGTTAATTTTCATAAGGGTATTTAAAGACAGTGTGGGGATTTACTAATTGAGCCTAGTCTGTGCACTTTCACACCCATTAACAACCAATCCAGGTAGATATGCTAATAGGGCAGGCCCTGTTCTGCCTATTTAGTTTCTTTAAGTAACATTTCTTTATATCATTTCTTTTTTCTCAGAAGGTCTGTTGAACGCAACATTGTGCACTGTTTGCGGTGCCACAAGCCACAGGAGAGCCTCCCTGTTCACCTGGCCAGGGTGTGCATGAAAAAAAGCACAGCAGAGGAGAGATCGGATGAGGTGCAGAAGGCCAAGGCTTCCAGCAGAGAGTGGATCCGGAAGAACAGGACCTGGAATTACGAGCAGCTCCGTGAGCTCCTGCCTGACAGACGCTCTCGGATCACCATGGTCGAGGAGCTTCTTCGCCGTGGTTTCTTCATCAGGAACCAGCCCGAGGAGTCCGACATGGTCTTGGACCCTGAAGGTGACTCGGCCTCTGTTGATGCTGCCACCACCACCGCCGAATCCTCCGGAGATCCTCAAACCATATCCCATTCTGTGAGGATAAAGATGAAGGAGGTGGGTCTGCATGACAAGTTCCCTGCTCGGGCCAAGCTCCTGGTGGGCTTTAAAAAGTACCTGACTGTGTCAAGGAAGGTCTCCAACTGGCAACAGGAGGTAAGATCTCTTTTCACTTCTATCCTCAGTAGGGTTGCAAAGGGGTGGCAAATGTCCGGTAAATTTCTGGAAACTTTCCAAAAATCCCTGGAAGATTCCAAATGTCCAAAATTTCTGGAATGTTTCCGAAATTTACTGGAAAATTTTTGCAACCCTGATCCTCAGCACAATTTCCCAAAGATGGGAAAGGTCCTAACTTTAAAACCTTATCTTATCTGTTTGGTAGCCATGGTATTTTCAGGTAGGACCACATTTAGGACAAAAACTATTACAGGACAGTATTTCCAAAGTGCTTTATCTTATCTTAAAGGGGTGGTTGATTGCGATTTCACTTTTTTTAATGTTAGTTAGTGTGTAATGTTGCTGTTTGAGCATAAACAATATCTGCAAAGTTACGAAGCTGAAAGTTCAATGCAATGCAGAATAAAACCGTATATTAAAAGCTAACATAAGCAGTAGCATTTACAAATAACAGCATATCTAAAAGTATGAGACAACAACAAACAATAATCTTAGGCCTACCATTAAAAGCTGTGCTTGCACAGGTTCTGCGCGATCCTCTTCACTAATATCCTCTGCGTCTCAATCGGGCTCAAACTGATAAGCACAATAGACGACGCCATTGTTTACAATACAACCGGAGCACATGCCGCTGAGGTGAGGGGTGGGACGTTTAGACGCGCACTAGAGGCGGTTTAGCCAATCACAACACACTGGGCCAGCTAACCAATCAGAGCCCATTGTGTATTTCTGAGGGAGCGGCTTCATAAAAGCAGGAAATGATCAGCGCGTTCAGAGAAGGGACTGAGCGGTGTGGAATAAAGGTAAATTATGTGAAAAATAATGCGTTAATAAGCATTAACATGTTAGACTGCACCCCATAAACACCAAATCAAGCCTAGAAAAAAAACAGTCAACCACCCCTTTAAGATAAGATGGGAAGAAACAGAACCTCCTAACTTAACTTTAGGGCAACCCCACAGCTGTCCTAACTTCAAAATTATTTGAAAGCTAATGTAAAAACCACACAATTTTTTCTTCACAGACTCGGTTAAGGCCGGACACCGGCGACACATTTTCGTCAACTCTTGCCCACTCCGTCTTTGTGAGTGAGCGAAGGTGAAAACTTACCAAATAGTATCGGCTTTGCCTTTTCTACCGAACTTATCAAAGTTTCGATTTCCGCTGAAATGAAAAGCTCGCCGGTTTTGTTTATCCATTTTGTTTACCTCATCAGCAGCTAGCGCAGTGTTGGTTGCTTGGTAACAGACCTGAGAGTGGATTGTCGAACTTGATAATGCAATTTAAAATTTCCTAACTAGAGATAAAACACGATTTTGTAAGATAGGATAAGAATCTCAAATCAAGTTGAGATTTGCTTCTGTAATACGAATTTGCGTAGGTGTTAACGATGTTCCGTAGGTCTTCTCACTTTCGTGATCTTACTGCTGACTTTTCTTTCTCACCGTCTTGTCTTCATAGGTTGACAACGTGTCCCGTTTCCTTCGGTACTTGCAGCCCACTGGGAGTGAGCCGTCTCTGGACTTCCTGTCAAAAAGCAGAGAGACCCGGGACTTTCTGACGGCCCTGAAGCGCACTGACATGTCTTTAGCCAGCATCCACAATTACATCAAGAGCATGAAAAGGTTCTTAGAGTACTTGACGCCAAGGCTGGACATTCAAAAAAGAGACCCGCAGCTGCGGACCAACTGCCAGAGATACATTAACATGCTGAAGACCCTGCGGAAGACTGTACTCAAGAGACGTGATGACAAGACGTGTGACCCGAGGTTAATGGCTTAAATGTTCATTTTGCATTGTCCTTTTTTTTTTTACTAATGTTATTACATTACATGTTTTAAACAGTAATATCTGAGTCTGAACCTAAAGCAATCTTGACAGCTTAAAGAATCGAGTTTTCATATTTGGTGACTGATTTTTGAATTATTTTACAGAGCAACTGTAATTTATTGATTTGCTAGAAGAGTCCTCATCACAGTCAGAGAGCGAGTTCTGATCTTTATTTAGAAATAGCGAAGCACATATAAATGCATGAAAAATCAGTAAAAAACCTCATGTCAAGTGTTCAAAAGATAACATCCA